TCCCTCTCCAAATATTGCTGTGTCTGATTTCAAAGGGTAAGGGAGAAGAAGAAAAGAGTTGTTCATGTGTTAATATCACAGCTACAGAAAGAAAGATTAGATACTGACAGACAGGTGAATAAGGAGGGGCAAGACATTCAGGCAGCAGGTGCTTACATGGAGCTATCAAAAGATGTGAAATCAGAGAGGTCTTTACTCACTGTGGGTGGGAGTGTCTTCACTTGCCAGCTCCCCTACACAGCTAAAGCAGATGTAGTTAGGACTTGAAGCACCCATTCTCAGGTGGCATCTAGTGACATTAATGAAAGCCACAGAAAGCTTCTGGGGATGAGTGACTGGAAACAAGCCCCTTGGCAGGGGTGTTCCATGTGAGCCCAGCAATGGCTCCTAAGGTTGAGCCCTGTGTTTTATAACTGCTGGCATTTGCTATGCTAATCCTAAAGTATACGAAAGATGAGGTCCTGCCACAAGGAGACCAACTTCAATACCACTGTGAAGCCCCCAAGGAAAACAAAACAGTAATGACAATAACCCCAGAAAAGGAACCTGCTGTAGCTTGTGCAGTTCCTTGGGAGAGCCACCTCCTCTGATACCTGACAGAGCTCACTTGGCCTGGAATAAAAGTGAGAGCTTACAGAGGCCATCTCAGAGTGGGTAGAGAGCTGGAGGACCAGACTGCTCAGAGGCAGCAGGCCCTTGCACCCATCGGTTGCATGACCTCCCAAAGCCTAGATGTCCCCTTCCACTATAACAGCCAAGCCCCACTCCCTCCCAGGACCAACTAGTATCTGTGCATGAATGGCAAGGGGAGGGTTCACTGTGGCCAGTACCATCTGAGCTGCTGCTACCATTGTCTGCTGATGAGGAAGCTGTTCAAGGCCAATAGTACACTTTAGGGTCTTTCTTTCTTTCCCTTTTCCTGCCCCCAGAAAAGCCGAGGAAGGAACAGATGGCATCCAGAGGGAAGGTATATCCATAGAACACCTCAGAGCCACGTGTATGCCTGATTAATACAACCTCAATCATAGCAAGCACGGGACCCTCGCAGCTGGCACACTGAGCCTTTGTCTCCTCCCTTTGAGCATCTGCTTACAAAGTTGATGTGTCTGTTGCTGGCAGCTCCCCCAAACCCTCTTTTGGACTGAGGCTGAGAAGCAAATACATCAGACTATGAGGGCTGATGGGCTTTCTGACAGCTGGAGATTTTAAATCTGGTCCCTTGGCCACAGCATCGAAGCCTCCTGATCCCTCACTCCAACCCTGCAGTCAGGCACTGACACACACTCACTGTGGGTGTGGGTCAAGTCAGAGTGCCTGGGGAGAATGCATGAACTGGGCTCAAACCCCAGAACCACATACACAGGACATGGTAGTGCACATGTGTAATCAACGTTCTAGGCAGTAGGAGTTAAATCTCCACCCCTCCCCCACCCCCAGAAAGAACAGTGTGTCCTTCAACATCAGAACAAGTGTAAGTAAGTGTCTGTGTCTCCTCATCACATGCAGTGGTGCAGGAGGCCAACTCTAACAGAAACAATGAGGTAGGTGGGAAAAGACATACCACCGAGAATCAGACCACAAGGAAAAAAAAAAAAAAAGATAGGAAACAAACTGTCACTATCCCAGCTTCTATTGAAAGCACTTTTCCACAGCCAGCCAGAGGGTGCTGTGACCCTCTCATAGTCAGGAAGTGCCCTAAAGCACCCAACTCCTGGCTTCACAGAGGCTTCAGTCAACAGGCACAAGGTGTAGCCAACCAGATGGCTCAGAGGGTAAAAATGCTTGAAGACCTGAGTTTGAATCCTTGTGAAGATGGAAGGCTCCCAGGACTGTGCCTCCTCACTACCCACCTCAGCCCAGCCCACATAGAGATGATGATGATGTTTTCAATCAAAGCAAAGAAAGTGGCAACACATATCCAATGAATAAATAATCTAGTATCTCAGGGCCTTTGGCCTCATTTCTCCTCTGTACTGAGAGGTCTCTGGTCAGTTTCCTGCTCACTTCTTTCCAGGCTGCTATTTCCCAAAGCCTGTGATTACATATGAGAGGTATGGTCCCAGATGAAAAATAAACCCTAATTCTAGATCTAGCTTCCTCAGTCTCACACCAGAAGACAGCCAGTGGGTGAGCAATACCATGGAGCAACACACCCCCACAGGTTGAAGCTGGCCTGTTCCCCTCAGGCCCATGTGGCTGTTTACCCAACCTGAGCATAACAAGAGTTGTTTTATGCCTCAGATCTTGTCAGCCTGCTGACCACTTCTGCTGAGGAGAAGAGGAAACCTCACCTCAGATGAAGCTTAGTAATGACATCCAGGAAGTGGGAGCTTGGTCAAATGTTAGAGAAGGGGTGGTCTATCATAGCCCTGTTGCTAGTCCTGCACCTCTAATAAACCGAGGGCAAACATAATTCCCTCAAGTTCAAGAGTGACTTTTGGGAGGAACTACCGTAGATGGCCAGATTCCCCCAGATGGGCATGGGGAGGGTGGTAATTCTTTGACTAGTTTGTAAGCAAAGACATCCTTCCCCCCCCCCTTTTTTAGCTTGAAAAACACTTGACTTAAATATTTGGTATAAACTTTACCTACCTTTGGTCCTTCCTACATATACCGACAAAACAGGACTGCCATTACAATTAACATAGCCATGCCATAGCTACAAAAATCAAGCTATCCAGTGAGAATAACAAAAACAAAAATAAATGGAGTTTAAGTTGAAAGATAAACCAATTCTGATCCTAAAAATTGGAGGGGGGGATTGGTCAAAGTTGACTTTATGAGCTAATTAGAACACTGTGAAGTCAAAGGACTTTAAAAAAAGGATAGAATTTACATATTACCTAATTTAAATTATAATTCCACAGTTTTTAGTATAGCTGCCAGGCTATATAACCATCACTACAGCTTAATTTTAGATTAATTTTATCCTCCACTCTTAAGGCCCCCACTACAGACAAGAGTCAACCCACACCTCTTTTCCAGTGTAACCATAAGCAAACACTCATTTAACTTTTTCCCTGTCTGTATTTGTGTGTTCTGTACACTTCATCTAAGTGCAGTTATAAAATGCATAGTTGTGTGTCTATCTCATTTATTTAGCATAGTGCTTTAAGTTTCATCTGTACTGTGGGGTGTACCTATAACTCTATATCTTTTTAATTGTCTAATAACTTTCCAATGCACAGACATACCACATTTAACTTACTCATTTCTCAGATGACAGCCATTTTTCTAGGCACTTTGGTTGTGTGTATCTCCCGGAGTAATGCATGGACTGGGTAACCTATCTCAAAGCGGTACACACAGGCAGGAACATGTCTCCAGCCACACATGAAGTAGGGAGGAGAGTTGAGCACTTCTCCACCCTACCTCCTTCCTCCTCTGCCTGGTGTCATCCTCAATACATGTGAAAGACTCCAAGATCTAGTGTACATCAGCTCTGCAGAGCCAGATGGGGTATCCAAAGTCCCAATATCATGCCTGCCAGCAAGCTTGAACTACAGCCACCTAACCCTTCAGGTCTCCAAGGAAGGCAATACTACAATTTCCCTCAGAGGCCTACTGGCAGAAATATATACACTTTAAATATATACACTGACTACACAGACACGACAGGGTCATGGCGTTGGGGCTGCCCAGCAGAGCCCTCTCACTGTCCTTGCCAGGCCCCTAGCTAGCCACACATCCTCTGAAATGCCATGTCCTCTGCACTGTCCCTCCTTGAACTCTTTTTTAGTTTGCCACAGCAATCCCGTTAAATCTATTTTCTCAGTCCACAGCAGTACTGCACAATTTAACGCTAAGAATTTTTGGTTGTTGATGTTCCTGCAACAGCCCGGACTTTCTTTTTCCTCCTCAGTCCCTCTGAGAGAAACATATATAAAATGAGTAATTGCTATGCTGAGGAATTGCTGGAGTCAGCACTGCCTCACAGGGGCTGTATTTCCTACCCCTACCCGGCTTCACTCCCACCACAAACTCTCCCACGTACGTTCAGAATTAAAGACATATTACTGGGATAAAGAAATCTGGCCTGAAAAATGTGCTGTAGCCACAATGGCAAGCCACCAAGAGGGTTGACAACAATTTCCAATGGAGCTGGAAAGGGTTAGATGCCCTGACTTTGAAATGAGCCAACACTGCACTCCTTCATCAGATTAAGTCAGTTCTGTTTTTCCTGGTGGAATTCCATGCCTGCACTACCCCCACAGACCCCAAAAGACAGGAGATGCCTGCCGCACACAGACAAGTACCTGTGGAAACTCACTTTTCTGACCAAAAGAAAGCTGAGAGAAAAATTCCATTTTTCAGTCATCTCCCTAAACTCCACCATCATCAAGAATTACCATGGACATTTTCCCCTAGAGAGATAATCCTTGCCTGATAACACTGCTGACATATAAACTAAAAAAAGAGAAAGAATAATAACTGTGTGTTGTTTTTGTGAGAAAAATCCATCCTATTAAAAGTTACGAGACCACTCATCCACATTCTAAGCTATCACTGAGTCACAGGAAAGGATGGGTATTTAGCCTCTGTAATTCATGTCTTCACACCTGTATCCTGACCTGTAAAATAAACATAATAAAGGGACCCCAAGCCATTATAGTACTGTCTTCAACAGCCCAGAGCAAACACCAAATAATCTTCCATTATCTTCTCCATGACCATCAAGACCGCCATCTTGAAGAAGACACCTCAACCACAATAATGAACTACCCTCAAGGTCTGTTCTAGAGTTTTTCCAGACTCATCCATCCAATGTATTCATAAGACACAGCAAGGCAAGCGGAAAGGAGGGCCATGTGTAAGGGTGAGGAGACAATTTAAAGTCTTAGGTAAATGGGGCTAACGAGATGACACAGCAGGTAGGAGTACTTTCATTACAAGGCTTGAGTTCTGATCACCAGAACCCAGGATGGAGGCAAAGAATCCACTTGCAGAGTTATTCTCTGATGTCCACAGTCTCCTACCCAGGCGGCAACACCCACACTTACCTCCCTCTGTGGCTGGCCTGCTCCCTGGTCTGCAGTGCGGAGGTTTAGGATGTGAACCTCCTGTGGCAGTCCAATTGTGCCTCTGCTGGCACAACCAGACAGAACAGTGAAGCTCTCCATCAAGGCCTGGACAGGATGAGAGGCATTGATCTGTGACAGTTCACACTGGGTGCTGGGCTCTGGACCTGTGGATGTAATCACAGACACGAGCTGTTCAGTGGCAGTAGAGAAGACACTTTGGGTGGTAGATACACTGCTAAACTGGCTGAAGGGCCTTTACAGCTAAGTTGTTTTCAGATATCAAAGGTTAAACAGCTAGTCTCATCATCTGAAATCCCAATCTTCTACATTTTTTTCATAATGTTGATCTGTATTTGATTTCTCAATTCTCCTTAGGTTCACAGGTCACCAATGTATTCCTTTGGGTGAAGGATACCTTCCATTTGACATTTGTGTTTTTATTTCCTTTCTTGAAAGAAAACCTGAGATAGCTGGAATAAATTATTTAAAGCCCAACTAATAATATACACAAATAATATCGAATATCTAAAATTGCATTTAAGAGTTTTCCTTTACTATGAGAAATAAATTTAAGAACAATACAAAAACAAAATGTGTAAGAAGAGGAATTTGGAGCCAGACCTGCACAGCAAAGTTTGGGGCAAAGGTCAGGAGAATCCTCCCTCAACAGGTACAATATGAGCAGAGGTACAAATGGGAAAAGTAGGACTCTGGCCATATTTGACTCCTGCTCCTCATTTTCCACTCCTCTAGCCAACCACACTTTCAGCTGTAAACCATCCACTCCACCTCTATTTCCCAACTGCCCCCCAAAATTAAGGAGGCTGTGCTCTTCAACCTCTCTAGTCTCTCTATAGCAAGGGGGTCCTTCGAGCCTAGGGAGCCCAACTCTACAGTAGTTCCACACATAGACGCCCAGCCTCCCTTTCTGCAGGCATGCCCTGGCCTCTAAGAATCACTAAGCAAAGCCCGAGTCCCTTCACAGGGCCCACAACCAGGCTTTGCTGGTTCTAGCCTTCTAACTGTCTCCAGCAACACCACCTTGCTTGAAGAGCACCAGATACCACATGAAGATTCTCAACTCCATGTCTGTGCATACCTTGTCTCAGTCACCCAAACTCTTCAACTCTAACCCCACCCCCAAGCTGAAGGAGGTACTCCTCTGCTACCCCTTCAATCCTCTATAATTTATTTGCCCATCTCCTCTGCTCCATTTACTACAGTGACTACAGGTGTATACAGCTGCTGCAGCCAGTCAACAATACACCCGTTAATCTCCCTGGTGACAACAGTTATTCATATTCATCACTACGCTCTCAGGATCCCACTCTAGACCCTGGTCTGGAGATCCAGATTCATACATTCATTCATATTCTCTCTCTCTCTCCCTTTATCACTCCCTCACTCCTCTATCCCTTTCTTCTCCCTCTCCCCTCCACCTCTTGCCTGCAGGGATGAATGAGAAAGGGGTTGCTACGAGTTACAATTGCAGTACTCAGCTTCACCCCATACTGATAAGACATCTGATGGAGATGAGATACTAATAAGGGGGCACAGGAACTGTCACCCCCAAAATATACCACCTTGGTATGTTAGCCGAGGAGACTTCCCTCTGGTGCCTTTTTTTGTGGGTTTAAAGTCTGAATTCCGAAGAAGGAAACAGTGACCTCTGATTGTACCCCAGGCTTCCACTGACTGAGCTCATGGCAGGCTGGGAGAACGGTGTGTCAACATACCTGGACAGACACATTTCTCATACTCCATGTCCCATTCTATATTCCAGAGAGAACCACTTCTAAACCTTTGTCATTCCTGTATATCTGTCCTCGGCCACTCCTGTTCTCCAAACCCACTGTGTTCTCCCCAAAACCACCTTCAACTACTCAGATTTCCCATATCCTCAATTCCCCTCCCTCCAAACTGGAGCAGATGTTTCTGGATTTTGACTTATCACCTTCCTGTGAATTTTCCTCTTTCACAATAAATTCCTATTCTTGCTCTCCTATTTAGTGTGTGTTTGTCAGTGTATTCCAGACTCTTCAGAAGGCAGAGGGAAGAGTGCCTAGAACTAACTCTTCACCTCACATACATCTCACTGGGACTGTGAATACAGGGTGGCTCCAAGCTTCAACCTTTTCTAAGGGGACCCAGTCCTGGGCGCATTTCAGTGAATTCCTCCTACCCTCTAAATAACAAACACATTCTTTAGAATGGCAGACTCGGTTTCAAATGCCATTTGAAATTCTGGACTAGCCACTGCAGTACCCCAAAGCTATGTCATAAACAGGCACCCCACCTACTGGGCCAAGTCTATTTCAGGACCCACAGAAATTATCTAGGTTGATAATAGCAATCTGGCCTGAAATGAAGTTTGTGCCTTTTCAAATAATCATTGCCACTCTTACTGCTGGATAGTGCCCGGCTGCTTTCAGAGAAGACCGGAGGTGGTGAGGGAAGAGGCTGCGAAAGCAATAGCAGGGCGTGAATCTGTGGGTGAGCCTCAGAGAAAGTGTGTTCCCCTGATTCTGGGGATATAGATGATACATAATAGCTACTGTACTGGGAACCAAGTTGGTTTCAGAGACTCCTGCCATGAAACACAATAAAAATATTGAAAGTCTTAAGTTTGTATGTTCTTAATTTTCCTTTTCTTAGAGCGTATTTGATATTTACTGTCTTTGTATATAGTTTTTGTATCAAGCCTAAATCTTTTATTGAGACTAAAAGGGGAATTGTAGTGAGATATCCATCCTGCCTACACCCGTTGCACTGACCACACCCACTGGGGTGTGGGGACAGGTGCAGGCATGACCTGGGGGACTAAGTCCTGGACTCCAGCTTGCTCTCTAGCTTTCTGGTCAGAGACAGAGAGCATCCTGAGGCATCCTTGGGACGGGAACCTGTGGCAGTCATCTGTTTCTGGTGTAAGTAATTTCTCCCAGAATAAACATCCATCAGCCTATTTGTTTTCCCAGATTCTTATTTATCCACAATAAAATACAGTCTTTTCATTTGACCCCAAAACACATCTACTAAGGGGCCTGCAATCTGCTTAGCGTGCCTTTCCTCCCCAAGGCCATCCTCACTCCTCAGGGTCTCTTGCTTGCTGACTGCTCTTGCTTGGGGAACAGCTCCAATCCAAGGTCAAATGGAAGATGCACACAGTCTACGGATCACACTGCAGGACAACTGCCCTTTCTAAGGTCTCTCTACAGTTCTTGTCTCAGCACTTGGTACTGTATTCTGGATCTTAAATATGCTCTCAAGGCCCAGGTTCTGGCAGAGTGGCTGTCTCCTGAGCTGCTATGGAGTAGTGACGACATGGGCACAGTGCAAAGAAGTCACTAGAGACCCATTAAGGGTAATGGACTTCCAGCACCTTCCTTCTTTCTGTCTCTAGGGCAACCCTGAGGTGAGCAGTTCCCTCTACCACATGCTCACACTGTGACACACTATGTCCTTACAGACCCAAAATTATGCAGGTGAGCAACCACAGCGACAAGCCCTGAAATGCAGCCTCAGAAGCCAAACTTTCTTCCCTTTGGTCACCTCAGCTATTTTGTTATAGCAACAGAAAATTGACCAGCACAGTATAGAGTGTTCTCAACATACCAGAGTTTTCCCCTACAAGTTTGGAAAAATAAAAATAAAAAAGAAGGCATATGACTAAGCATATGCTAAAATCGAACAAAAAGTACAAATAATGTATGTATATGAGAAATTATTTGCCACCACCACAAAGTATAAGAAGGCTGGGGAAAATAGCTCAGTTGGCACAGCGCCTGCCCTGATCCCCAGCACCCACATAAAAGCCGCACATGGTAGCAAATAACCAAGCCAAGCCAATCCTCAGAGCTTACTGGCCAACCCACCCAGCTAATCAGTGAACTCCAGGCTCAGTGAGAGACCCTGACTCAAAACATAAGGTGGACAGTGACAAAGGACGATGCCCAGCATCTGCCTCTCACCTCCACATGTGCAAAGGGACATTCACATACACACGAAATCATACAAAACAATGCCTTCAGCAGCTCAGTGTACCGTCAGACAGATACAGCAAATGTAGTAAGAAAACCATTCCTGTTTATCCAGCTCCTACTCTGCTGGGCAATGCTAGGTGCTACACATCTGCACCTAAAACAAAAGGAAGAGGGCTCAACACAGTATATGTCAGAAATATTCTAAGTTCACCTGAGGCCTCAGAAGAGGACCTGCCTCTGGCAGACAGCAGTGTGAGGAGCGAGTGGGAGCTGTGCCCACACAGTCTGCAGGAATAAAATAAACAAAAATAAATAAGACCTGTCCTAGGTGTAGGTGGTAAAGGATCCTGAGGTTTGTAACTTACCCTGGAATGAGTCCAAAATGAAAATGTCATGATGGACAGACTGGGATAAATCTGAAAAAGCAATTGTTGCAGACTGCTAATTGTGGAATCTGGCTGTGCAGCAAACATGGTTTCAACATCTTTTTATGTTGAAATGTTTCATTTTTCAAAAAAGGTCGAGAGGGAGGGGATGCTTATAAAAAAAAGAAAAGAAAGGAAGGAAGGAAGGAAGGAAGGAAGGAAGAAAGCAAGCAAAAAAAAAAAAAAAAAAAAAAAAAAAAGAAACTGTAAGGCAGGACCACCTCCAGAAACCACAGACTGGGTGAGAGAGCAAAAGCCATTTCCTCTGACCCAGTGACTTCTCTCCAAGAATTCACCATAGAGAAATAGTTGGGTCAGTGTGCAGAGTACAGTATGTACGAGGGGCTAACCCAAACCTGGAGAGAGGACAAAAATAAAATAAAGATTTCTAGAAGGACTTTCTGAATTCTCACTCTCCAGGTGAAGCCCCAAACCACCCCAAGGTTTACAAAGCCACTCAGACCTGGCTCGGCCTTATAGCCCAGCCTCATCCCCTACCACTTGCTTACAATGTTTAAGCCATTCTGGCTCAGATACAGGCCTATTGTGTCCTCCCAACACCAACTGTTAGGCACATAATCATCCCAGATGAAGCCTGCCTTGTCCCAGCTCTGCAGCTATGCATGGCCATGCGAACAAGTTCTGAGAGATAACCAATGGCTGCATGCATAGCTTCTTTACATCTCTGAAGAAGGTGTGTCCTGTCTTTTCCTCCTTCCTGTTGCCTGGAAGCAGATGTGATATACAGGGTTAGAGGTT